ATATTCTAAGATAATAATTAATAAATAATAAATAATAAAATAATAAACTAATAATTAATTCATTCTATAACAATAGCATAACTAAAAATAATATAAATAGCATATCTTTACTTTTAGAGTTTGATCACACTATTGAGAGACTGTTAGTGAAAATAAATATATTTGTAAGCTTAAATAATACAATCAGTAAGTTTCCAATAAGCAGAGAAGAGAGCTATTATGATTGATATTTTAATAAAGTAGATGAGGTGTGTTAGCATTTTTTGATACCAGCGATTCTAAAACTTTAGAGAAATAAAATAAATCGCAGTGCATATTATTGGTATTGCTTGATTAATTTGAGTAATAAAATTAGAAAACAGGTTACTATTCAATATGTATCAGATTATTGTATAAATGAATATAAAAAATACTTAAATTTTTTTTTTTGCAGGTAACTGATAGTTCATCAAATGGGTTATATTTAGAAAATATATTCGACATGAGTATAGTTGAACTTGAAGACTTGATTGCTGAAATTGGATTAAATAGAATCCATGAGATTTGGCATATTTATTTTATTAACAAAAAATCTAAGAATTTTGTTGTTTTATATGATAGTGCTGCTTACCTTTGTATATATCTGATATTAATTAATCGTGGTCTTGTGTGTTGTCATTTTTTCTTAGTTATGCTTGTTTCAACAAATGCAAAATTTCATATAGGTCTTGTGTCTCAACGTTGGTACAATAATATAATGACAAATTTAACACTTGCAAGCAAACCTGCAGTTGCAACAGTTTTAAATGAGGATTTTGACACATTAGAGCATGATGAGCAAATAGAATTTTCCCACTTAGAGAGTATTTGTGAAAAACATATTTTTACTAAAGAAATTTTTCAAGAGTTTACACTTAAACAACAATGGGGTAAAAGGTTTGGAATAATGAAAAAAGCATTAGATTTAGCTATTTCAATAAGCAGAGCTGAACAACTTTACAAAATACATACTGATCTTATTGAAGAAATGGAAAACAAATTTGCACAAAATGAAGAGTGGATTATAGAAAAAGATGATGATTTTACCAAATTTGCAAATACCATTAGTAATCCAATTGGTATCAGGCCAAAAGAACAAAAATCTAAAAGAGAAAAAACCTTTAATGATATTACAAATATAAAGGGCAAAAGAAAGAGATTTGATAATGATGAAACTTTTGTATCACCAAGATCTAAATCTAGTAATAAAATCCCTGAAATAGAAGCAGATATTTCAAATCTTTATTTGTTTTTTGTAATTTATCTGTGTGTATTTATTTGCTTTTTGTACAGTATGTATAAGTTAAAACCAGTCAAAATCATGAATGTGAAGTTATATCGAGGCAATGCAGAATTTGCCACCAAAAAGGTCATAATGCACGAACTTGTCCTGAAGATAATAAAAGTGATGAGAATTTACCATCTAAATTTAGTAAAAGAATTCTTTGTAAACAGGTGCAGGTATATACTGGCACTGCTGTATTTGTTATTTATATGCAGCCTAATTTCTTTTTTTTATATACAAAGAAGTTGAAAATAGTTTAAGTAATGAAGAAGATAAGTTGCGACAATATGGAATATGTCATCAAAAAGATCATAACTCACGAACTTGTTTAGAAAGCAATAAAGGTGATGAGAATTTTCTATCTGAATTTAGTAAAAAAATTCTCGAAGAGAGACAAACTGGTATTTTGGTTCTGTATAATATTTATTGTATATATATATGTAACTATATTTATGCTTGTTTTATATGTTAAAAAAGCTGAAACTGGTTAAAATTACAAAGACAAATCAAGGCAATGTAGAATTTGTTACCAAAAAGGTCATAATGTATGAACTTGCTTAAACCAAAAATCTTAAATGTGAATAATTAATAATCTGAATCTGATAATTTGAGTTAGAATAGATAAAGAATATACTTGAAATAAAGATTTGTCATGTTGTAACCTATAATTTATAATTGCTTTGTTGGTTGATAAGTTACTTTGATATCATGGAAACTATTTGACTTGTTAAAATTTAAAAAAAAATTCTGAATAAGAAAAGTTCTAAATACCTTATTTTGAACATGTATAATTACAGTAGATTAAAAATTACAATATTTGATATGATTACTATATTATACTGCATCTGAAGTCTTATTCAAGAACTCCATTTTTAAAATTGAATACATAGTACTCATGAGTACTGTATGAAAAACTAAATATAGGAGATATGGTAACTTAGTGTAGTGGTCTAGTTGTCACCCTCTCCAAGTAGCAGATCTAGAGTTCAAATTCCATAGACGATGATATTTAAAAAATAGACTTGTGTTTTGGTTAACGATTATGCTATCAGTTGGATCTAGAACTAATCTGTAACTTTGGTCACACCATCTCATAATGGAAGCTTTGGTGCAATAAATCTGAAAAATTGGCATAACTGAAAACCCATTTGGCAAGTTCTGAATTGGGAGTAGCAATAATCTTTACAGTATTACAGGAAGGCTGAATTCAAACCAGGACCCGATATTGGAGAACCGAGCGACCAGGTCCACTAGTAGAGGATACACTAGCCAAACTGCTGAGTTGTCGCACTAGAGGAAAAAGATATACACTTCGAAAGTATGGACCAAGGGGAGGGCATCCTTTAGGCACCAAAAGCCTGGGCAGACCGACCTGTCCGAGTTGCTGGCTGGAAGTAAGAGAGGAACTGACAAAGAATCCGGATAAGAAGATAGCTAGAATGTAGGTACTGGGGTTGTTGTAAACCTTATAAGGGCAGAAGTACATAATTGGTAACTAATTAGGAAGGTTATACTTAAGATACAGATCAGATTACAGCAGTACCCCAAAAGTTGGCTTGAGATACGAACCCGGTGGTAATAGTACAACAGGTACTAGTTAGGAAGAAGTTACCGAACATGCAGGTAAAAACATGTGTGGGACATGGACTACTCTGTTAGGTTTATCTCATGGATAGACTAGACTCAATATGGGGTTTAGTAAGTCCTAAGGTGAGTGCGAAATCTATAGATGTCGCAAAATCTACTTCTAAATAGTAAGTTATGCCTTGGTTAGGCAGAAGCTACTAAACAGTTGTAACCAGATGGTTTAAATGGGTACCCTCCTAGTTGGGATGCAGGTATGGCAGATAGCATAAAACCTTCAGGTGGACTACTTAAATTAGACACTTAAAAAGTGTACGTGTGGCTTGATGTACTATCATTATAATTGTATAAGTCATAATCTACTTAATAAAAAGTCTCTGGCTAGAGAGGTCATCTTAATACTTAAAAAAAAAAAAAAAAAAAAAACTAAATACCATTTTTATTTTTTTTTTATTTTTATTTTTTTTTTATAAATTTGGCAGTCATGCTTTAACTTTATTAGGCTTTGTACAAATCTTCTAGACTGGTAAAATTTTACACTAGGTTGCATTTCAGAAGG